ATTAGAGCCAACTTGACAGCAACCAACAACAACAACGTATCCAGGAATGGCATGACCACTTGTAAAAGCCAGAAAGTTTGAAATCACCCTGGACACCTCCTCTCACTCTCCTTCACATCCAAAACACCACCAGAATTTTAGCTCCTAGATTTCTCCCAAATCATTCACATGTCTCTATCTCTACTGTTACTACTCTTGTCCATGCCACTATTATTTCCCCATAAAGGGAAATGAAAAGTGCCCTGGTGGCACAACAGTTAAGCACTTGGCTACTAACCAAAAGGTTGGTGGTTTGAACTCACCCAGTGGCTCCGCTAGAAAAAGACCTGACGATCCGCTTCCATAAAGATTACAGCCTAGGAAACCCTATGGGGAAGTTCTACTCTGTCACATGGGGTCGCTATGAGCTGGAATAACTAGACGGCACCCAACAACGCCAACAGAAAGGGAGTCCCACTTAATCATAACCAGCCACTGGGTCTCTCATAACTTGTCAAGTGGAGTAGCCGAAGTGGCTACTGCTCCAACCTACCAGTCACAAGTTATAATCGCCACCTTCAAGTCTGACGAAAGCTGGTTCCCCAAAATAGCACCAATAAATCCTGCTGATGAGACAAAGTGGAGTTCATTCTTATCTCAGTAATGCAGGGCACAACTGAAACAGTTGAAGGACCCTTGGTAGCGCAACAGTTAATCACTTGGCTGCCAACTGAAAGATCAGAGTGGTTGGAACCCACTCTGGCTTCACAGAAGAAAGACCTGGTAATCTGCACTCATAAAGATTACAGCCCAGGAAAATCTATAGGGCAGTTCTTCTCTGTCACATGGGGTCTCTATGAGCACAAATTGACTTGACAGCACCCAGCAACAACAACAACTATACAGTCATAAAATCTCCCTAAGGAACTGATGTTGGAGCTGAGATCTGAAGGAACGCAGCTCTCATCCTGTCAAGACATTCAGATGTACAGGTAGCAATAAGTGCCCTGTGGTGAGAAGGACTGAAAGAAAACCAGTGTAGCTTAAGAATGGAGG